ACACACGTGTCTTGTTTTTCTCAATGTTTTGAAAATCAAATCAGATCGGACATCGACTGAACGAGGTAGTGGGTAGGGTTGATCAGTCCAACAGGCCAAATTGGGAGTCAATGACCTGGTCAACGATGTTTGCAAACAGCAAATCAGGTTCTATACACATTTCTTTAATCACCATCTTTTAAGTTCCTATCAAATGCTTGTGCCATGATGATGTCCATACTTTTTGTCACGTTGGTAGTCTCACTTCCACCTTCCATCGTCCTTCAAACTAGGCTCTGATACCAACTCTCACGGACTTGGTCGTAATTCCAACGAACCGTGCGGCCTAGCGAACTTCTTCACTAAGTTGCTAGTCAGCCTACTTTCACACTTAGCGGAATATCGAGATGCTAAGTATGAAGGAACTCGGACTCAAAGAAAGAACTTTGTATTACTTTCTCTCTCTAAAGCTTACAGTGCTTCTCACTTCTTGAGTGAGTGAAATGAATGAGGGGGAGGGGTATTTATACTTCTCCACCTCCCCAATGGACGGCTAAGATCTACTTGATCTAACGGTTACAATCGAGTATCTAGAATACTCTACACAAATATCTAAGATATTTACAAGGCTACATGATATCTCTACAGTACTCCATAATGTTCCAGAACCTTCCAAGCATCTCTAGCAAGCCCCCCATCTTTCTAGAGAATTCCTTAGTCTTCTAGACTATGGCGGATATCTCTGGATAGTTCTTCGGACGGATCTGGACATCTTTTAACGGATTGGGTCGGGTCTGAGTATCGAGCCTCTGCCGATATTCAGGCAAACTTGAACGATGCGTCACATTTTACACAGGAACACATGTACTGGGTTGAAGGTGAATTACAACTCCTTGAGAATGAACCAATAACACTGTACATCGGATGCATCACCTGTAATCAAAAAGTGCACTTCAGAGAAGGTATTACCTTTAAGTGCATGCAGTGTGGGGACGAAGAGGCAGCAACTGCAAAGAGGTAAGCATTCTAATTGTGTAATCTTTCAAGATATTTCTATTCTACAATCTTTCAGAGTAAATTCCATAAAAGGTCCCTAGTTATAGGCCGTTTTACATATTTAGTTCCTACATATCAAATATTACTAATTTAGTCCCCAATTATTATATCATTTTTCACGAATGATCCTTTGTTAACGTTTTTGTTAAGAACATGGATAAAATTGTATATTCATACCTCTCTCTCTCCAAAATTTAATTTCTTCACTCCTCTTGTACTCTTTCCCAAACTCGTCGCTGAGTTTGAAGCTCTAAACCCAAAACTGTAATGATCATTCCCCCCTCCCTCAATTATTAGTCTTCATGGTGGAACCTAAAATCAAAACCAATAAGCTTTATGGGTGAATTTTATCGGTTAGTCTCAATAAATTGCAAAGAAAATAAACATTAAAACTCATCCATGAAGGTTACTAGTTTCGAATTTGGGTCCCACCAGTTAGACAAACAATTGAGAGAAGAGTGATTATTTCAATTTTGGGTTCAAAGCTTCAAACTCAGTGACGGGTTTGGGAGAGGAGTGCGAGGGGAGAAAGAAAGCTTAATTGAAGATAGAAAGGAGTGTGAATTTACAATTTTATTGACGTTCATAACGGAAATATTAACAAAGGACCATTCATGGCAATGAATATAATAATTGGGGACTAAATTAGTAATATTTGATATGTAGGGACCAAATATTTAAAACGACCTATAACTGAGAACCTTTTATGGAATTTACTCTAATGTTCTTTTTTATATACGAACTTCACAAATACTTTATTTCTTATGTACACACTTTCTCCCTGCAAATCTTTGCAGACTAAAAGTGGCAGCTGAGATAAGTGACGGTAGAGATGCTATACAGGTCACCCTCTTGACCAAGGAGCTCTAGTAAATTTTAAAGACGCTCAAGTGGAATACAACGCTGGACACAATCAATACTCTGAATCTGGACATCATCGTTCAATCAGTTACGGTCATTGCTACCATTAAACAAACATCAAGCAATTATGAAACACATACATCAAGCATGTACTCACTTTTAAGCCTCTACAGCGTCTCTCAAAAGAAAACAAGCACATCAACTCTAAAGACAAAGCTGAAGGTTGAAGAGGACGTCCACAAAAAAAGGCTTAGCAAATGTTTCTAAAAGATGGAAACTTTTTTGACTTATATGTGTATTCCTACCATTCTTGTAAAACATATGTATTCCAATAAAGTAGGAATCGATATGTAACTTTGGTACATATCAGAAATGAAGTGCACCCTGTCACTTCAATTTTTGTAAAAACATTTCCTATGTTAGAACTCATAGGTTAGCCACATATCATACATGAAGTGTAAGTGACCACTTCAAAATTTGTAAACTTATCCCTATCCTTTTGATGAAATACTTTGCCTATGATATATTAAAAAAATTGGTAGATTACACAATAAGTTTGGGCACTCACACGCAAAGTGTGTGTCCATGCTAGTGTATATATATACACCAACCCCTCAAATTTAAGCTTCTAAATTCACATATCAATAACGCATGGTCGAAAAAAATACTAGACAAAGGGAACAAACCTTTTTAGATTAATTAGTATTTACCCCATGCTCCACACCAGCTCGTAAACCCTTACCTTAAAAATACTTCGTATATATAATAATTTGATGCCCTTTAAAAAGGTGAATTTAATAATCCTTTAACCTTTATATTCTGAAAAAAGTGAGTAAATTCTTTAAATATTCTTTTATAAATGTGGGGTTTCCCTATTTAGTCCACATTTATCAAATATTATATTGACAGTCCTTATTAATTAGGTATCATTCCACGTTTAGTCCTCCGTATTTTTTTCTGTCTCCATGCTGTTAGACAAAGACCAAAATGGAATGGTACCCAATCAATAAGGATCACAAAAATAATATTTGATAATATGGACTAAATATGGAAATTCTCTCGATATAAAGGACTATTTGGAGAGTTTACTTTTTAAAAACATTTTTAATACTCCCTCCGTCCACAAATAAACTTCCCGTTGCGCATTACGATATTTGACTGAAGTTATTTTCAAATCATTTTATATGAAAAATGATGTAAAATTTAAAAATAAAAATTACATATTAAAAAACTATAACAAAAGATCTACAAAACTATAGGTGACACGACTATATTATTTTATGAAATGGGTGACGAAAATAGACCAACAAAGTGAATAAAGTTTGAACTTGTGAATAGTGAACGAGAAGTTTATTTGTGAACGGAGGGAGTATTGAAAGTACTACCTTCGTCTTTGAGTATTTTGTCTAATTTTAACTTTTTGCAGTCAATCATTTTCAATATTTGACCTATTATTAAATAAAATTATTTACATAAATCCAATAAAATTATTTTTTTCTATGTTAACCGGCCCATATTTGTTGTATTTTATGCATACTTGTTTTGGGCCTTATTCTTGTTATTATCGAGCCATGTGTAGATAGTTCATGTACTTTATATATACTGGATGAAATCAATGGAAAAGGCAGAACGTTATTTTCTTAAATTCAACATGGTATCGGAGCCAACCGCGTAAGTCGCGTAACCTAGCCGCTGCCTCTCTCGTTCTCCGTCTTCGTTTTTCTTCTGCTTCTTCTTTCGACACCATGGCAGACAACACAAGCAAGAAGACTCCAACACTTCCAATTCATGACCCGTCTTCACCATATTATCTTCATCCCTCTAAAGGCCAAGGTAATTCCCTCACCAAATATCTCTTGCGTGGGGAAATTTTTGACACTTGGGAGAAGGCGATTTGTAATGCGTTGAAGGGCCGCGACAAAGCCAAATATTTGACCGCCAAAGGCATGCCTAAACCGAATGAGGAACATGAACTTTCAGCGTGGGAGTCCAATAATTTGATTATTTGTTCTTGGATTTTGAATCTGTTCAACCTAGTATCGTTTCTCATAGTGTTGCTCATGAATTGTGGACGAATCTGAAATCATGTTATGGGAGTTCCAATGGACTGCAGATTCATCAGTTAAAGACCGAGATGGAAAATTTGCGTCAAAAGGACAGTCCGTGGTGGTTTATTACAACCAGTTCATCACTCTCTGGAACCAATTGTATGGAGGAAGAGACCCGACGAGGGGCTGCCGGTGTGGAACAACCGTGCTCCTTCGTGATGGCGTCGAGAAAGAGAAGACCCATACGTTTTTACTCGGGTTGGGTGACGAGCAATATGGGAGAATTTGGTCCTAGATTCTTGGGACGGACCCTATTCCCGATATCAACAGAGCCTATTCTTTGATCACCCAAGAAGAACGTCACCGTTGTATTGTTCGTGCCAGGGATGATCATACGGACGCCATGTGTTTGCCGTCGCTCGACCTCCTCCATCGCCGCCCAACAATTACCTGTGCACCCATTGTGGAAAATCGGGACACACTATTGATCATTGTTATATGCTTATTAGCTTCCCTAACAGTGGAAGGGGTGGCCGAGGGGGTCGTAATGGCCATGGCGGTGCAAGCCGAGGGGGAGGAAGATCCGGTAGAGGGGGGCGAGCTGTCCAGCAGGGTGTTCAGCATCCAGTAAGCACTACCCAGGCTGCTGGTGCTGGTCTTGATGCCCAATTTGACTCCGGGACGGCTTCGGCAGCGTCTTTGACACTGGACTAGATTTCTCAACTATTATCTATTATTGATATATCCCCTACCGCCAGTAAGCTTAATGGTATGCAGCAACCTTCGTCCAATGATTGGCTTGTTGATAGTGGTGCTTCACACCACATGACGGGTAACTCTGCATGTCTTTTTGATATTGTTGCTATCTATCCATGTAAAATCACCCTTCCCGATGATTCGGCTATGGTAGCTAATACGTGCGGCAAAGTGATGTTGTCGCCCACTTTGATTCTTCAGAACGTTCTCTTTGTAAAGTGTAATCTGATTTTTGTTGGATGCCTTATTAAAGGCAATAACTATCTTATGATTTTTGATGATCGTTATTGTGTGTTGCAGGACAGTGTTACGAGAATGGAGATTGGACGGGGTAATGCCAATAATGGAGTCTATGTTCTAAGTCCGTCATCTTTTGCTTCAGCATTGTGCGTCAATTGATATATTCTTCTTCATAAGAGACTTGGTCATCCGTCTCATAATGTGTTTTCTTTTCCTCCATTTAAAAACTAAAAAATTGGAGTCATGTGAGATTTGTTTTTATTCCAAACAAACTCGTTCTGTGTTTCCTTCCAGTTTAAATAAAGTCGATGCTATTTTTGACTTAATTCACTGTGATTTGTGCGGTCCATATTCACCATGTATGTTTACTGGGGCTCATTATTTTTGACAATTGTTGATGATCATTCTCGTGTCCTTTGGGGGTTTTTGATAATCGATAAAAGTGAGGTGACAAGTTGTTTAAAACAATTCTTCACTTTTATTCGTACCCAGTTTGATAAAACCATTAAAACAATATATTCTGATAATGGCACAGAATTTTTAAATCGCCCTCTACGACAGTTTTATCTTGAGTTGGGTGTTTCCGTTGAAACGTCCTATGTTGGAACACCTCAACAAAATGGGCGAGTCGAACGTAAACATCATCATATTCTCAATGTGGCTCGCTCACTCATGTTTCAAGCATCTTTACCTATCGATTCTTGGGGGGAATGTATTCGTACTGCCGTGTATCTTATCAATCGAACACCTACACCTGTCGTTGGGGGGAAAACTTCGTATGATATTTTGAATTCAAAACCTCCAGATGTTGGTCATCTCCGTGTGTTGGTGTTTGTGTTACGTTCGTCATGTTCAACATCCACCAAATAAAATTGCCCCTCGAAGCACGAAATGTGTGTTTCTCGGGTACCGTTTATGATCTTGAGTCTCACCGTTTGTTCCACTCTCGAGATGTTTCCTTTGACAAATCAATTTTTCTGTTTGCTCTATCTCAAAACCATTCCCTACCTCCACAACACGATCACCAAAACCACGCCACAACTCCCTTTCCCTACCTAGCCTCCAGCTACTGCTGAACAGCCCCCAGCCACTGCCGAACAGCCCTCTGCCCATGCCGACCTCATACCTGCCGTCACGTTGTCCGCCACCCCGGCTGCTTTGCTGCCTTAGCGTGTTCAGCGTGCCCCTAGTCATTTGTCGGATTATGTGTGCAACATTGTCCATTCTGATCCCTCCATTATTGGTTCACCTAAAAAATCTATGCGCTCTGGAACTCGGTTTCTTCTCACTAACTTTGTGAATTATGATAAATTACATGACAGCTACCGTGGTTTTCTAGCCGCTCTTACTTCTACAGAGGTGCCCACTTCTTTTCGAGATGCCATTCAACATGCAACATGGAGTGTTGTAATGCAACAAGAGATAACGGCATTGTAAGCTAATCATACGTGGGATATCACCGACCTTCCTAAAGGTCGTCATGTTTTGGGGTGTCAATGGGTCTATAAGACCAAATTCCATTCTGATGGTTCTAAGGAGCGTGATAAGGCTAGATTGGTGGTTCTAGAAAATCATCAAGAGATGGGCACTGATTTTACAGATACATTTGCTCCTGTTGCCAAAATGGATACCGTTCGTATTCTTTTGTCTGTTGTTATTGCTAGAAATTGGGCTGTCCACCAACTTGATGTTAATAATGCCTTTCTTCATGGTGATTTGAACGAGGAATTTTATATGCGCGTGCCACCTGGGTATGCTCACCTTTATCCTGGAAAGGTATGTCGTCTCAAAAAATCAGTTTATGGCCTGCGCCAGTCTCCCCGTAATTGGTTTGCAAAATTGACTGTGGCACTTCGTCAGTATGGTTTTCATCAGGCACACAAGGACCATACCCTTTTTCTTCTTTGTCGTGGCCCAGATACTTTGGCAATTCAGGTATATGTTGATGATTTCTCGTTGTAGGCAATAACCTTACCTGGCTTTCTTCTTTCAAACGATACTTGCATAATTATTTTCGTTTGAAAGATATGGGGCCTCTTACTTATTTTCTTGGAATTGAATGTGCACGTTCCTCGGCCGGGATGGTATTGTGTCAACGTAAATACGATTTGGATATTTTAGTCGAGGCCGGCCTCTTGGGATGTAAACCAGTTGACATGCCGATTCAGCCCGACCATAACCTTGGCCATTCGGAGAGTGCGCTCTTGCATGATCCCTCTCGCCACCGGCACATAGTCGGTCGCCTCATTTATTTGACGATCACTCATCCTGATTTGGCATACTCTGTCCATGTATTGTCTCAATTTTTGCAGGCACCTACCGTTGATCATCTTGTTACCGCAATGCGCGTTCTCAAGGAATCTTGTTGAGACGTGATAGCAATTTGCAAATCACGGCCTATTGTGACTTAGATTGGGCGAGTTGTCCTCTTACTCGACGCTCTGTGAGCGGATACTTCATTACTCTGGGTGGATCTTCCGTGTCCTAGAAAACTAAGAAGCAAGCAATCGTCTCTCGTTCTTCTGCTGAAGCTGAGTACCGTGAAATGGCTAATGCATGCACTGAAATTCGATGGCTACGTCACATGCTCACGGCCCTGGGAGTGCAAATCGTCCATACCCCCCGATTGTTTTGTGACAACGAGTCGGCTTTGTTTATCGCCACTAATCCTATTTTTCACGAGCGCATGAAACACATAGATATCGATTGTCACATTGTTCGCGAGTGTGTTCAGCGCAGGGAGGTCTTTACACACTATATCCTACTCGTCTGCAGATTGTGGATTTGTTCATTAAAGCACTGTCTAAATAGGCGTATCATTTCTTACTGTCCAAGTTGGGCGTTCATGACATTCACGCACCAACATGAGGGGGAGTGTTAACCGCCCCATATTTGTTGTATTTTATGCATACTTGTTTTGGGCCTTATTCTTGTTATTATCGGGCGATGTGTAGATAGTTCATGTACTTTATATATTCTGGATGAAATCAATGGAAAAGGCAGAACGTTATTTTCCTAAATTCTACAGTATCAATATCTAATATTAGTTTTATTTAATTCATGGTCAAAGATTGCCGATTTTGACAAAAAAACTCAAAAGTAGATCAATACTCTAGGATGAAGGTAGTTACAAATATGAAAAGTATATGATTGTAGTTTGTATATAAAAAGTCAAAATTATCATTATAAAAAATTTGCCAAAAAATTCAATTTTTAATATGAGAATTATCTTGGAGGACATAGAAATTAATAAGTAATTTGAAATCATCCAAAATAGGAGTAAATATAACATCTATCCTCAAAATAAGAATTTCATATTTTTTTCTCATCAATATACGGGTTTGCACTCAGACATAATGACATTGTATAATGATAGTATATATTGGCATTATTAGTATTATACTCTTATTTTGGAGGAAAATTTGAAACTCTTACGTTATTAAAAAGGGACAATAACTTCGAATATCTTTTTAATTCCTATCAGTTTCAAATAGATTCTCGTACTAAAAATTGAATTTTTTGATAAACTATTTTTTGTGATGTACAAATTTTGATTTTTTATAAATAAACTATAGTTATACATTTTTCCTATCTATTAATTTTTATATTAAAAGTGGTTTAAAAAGAACAAATTCTCCAAAAAGATTTTTATAACGGGGGAATTTCAATAAAAGAAATCTGCATCCTGCATCCTTCGGTAATGAATCACCAAAAGAGTAAGGCTCCGTTTGTTACACTGAATTCAAACTGTGAAATTTGAAATTGGGGAAAATAATTCTAATCCTGCTGTTTGATAGCACCAAAATATGTGGATTTGGAATTGGTAGTGCCAGAAATGAATTAAAATTAGAAAATTCAATTCTATCCAAATCAAGTCTATAGAATTCCAATTCCTGATTCAATTTCAATTCCGTCAATTCCGTGTATCAAAGTGATCCTAAAAGACTGCCTATTTCTAGGCACAAACTCCCTGGAGTAAGACTAATCAAGATTTTTTTTTGATATTACTAAAGTTTTATAATTAGCATCGGTACTCTAACGAACACTCGGCATACGTTGATTCCTTTGATGACAAGATTTTTTCCCCTTCATCCCAATCAATTATAAAAGTCCCTAGAACCTTATTTAAAATGACAACTACGTATGGAACAAATGTGTGAAATTGCCTTTGATGCCTACCATGGGTAAATGAACCCTATTGCATATAAGGTATACAACAGCAAACATTAAATTAAAAAAACAGCTTTATTAAACAAATGTCAAATACCACTAAAACCAAATAAGATATAATATTACCTCGTCAATCGAAACCACATAAATCGTTGTTGATTAGCTCTTTGTTGTTTTTGACATTGTAAGCCTCCCATAGGCGAGAAACCTGAACTTTAACCGCATGGCTACTCATCTCATGTGTGACCGTTTTTAACAATTCTAAACCTTGTTAACTGGACACACGGATGGACACCATGCTAGTGGTTTAAAATTACACTTAGGGTCCGTTTGGTATATGGAATTGCCGGAATTGGAATTGAATTGGAATTGAAATTTCATTGGATTTAATTCCATAGAATTGAATTTTACCAATTCCAATTCATTTTTACACTATCAATTCTAAATCCACATAATTTTTGTACTACCGAACACCAGAATTGGATTTGAAGTCCTCAATTCCAATTCTATAATTTGAATTCCGTGTACCAAACGGGCCCTTATAAAAATGTAATACTCTTTTTATTGAGTTTTATTTTTACTATTTGTAACTAATAGAACATTTTTCCCGGAAAAATAATTAATGCGGTCATTTTTAGCATACTCATATTGTCAAAGTTACACACTTTTTTATCCATTCACACGTAACTAGCTTCCAAAAATATTACTCCGTATAAGATACTTCATCCCTAAATTCATTCCATACATGCTTCGTTTGCTCATTGACCAACATTGCATTGGGTCTTGCTTCTGTTCGCCTCCTTACAGAGATTTGTATCTCATTTTGATGAAGGAGAATGAAAATGTGCAAAGTACTTGTCGCAATTCCTCCAATTCCACACTTTTATTTGAAGCATTCTGTGATGCAACATTTTCCACGCTTTTTTTAAAACTCCAAATATTCATTCAAAAGAAATCATCCAAAGTATGAGCAAAACATAAGCCTTGTCCTCAAAATAGGAGTGATATTTTCATCCCCAAAATAGGACAATTGCAATGTGACAATGTGGCATAGAAAATGTCCAGTACCTAATTCATGATAAACTTACAGATACATCATCAAATGATTGTCACCAGGGAAACTAAATATAACAAATTTTGTTTTTGGGATGGGGTGTGGCTATCAGCTCCTTTATTTAATTGTAAAGAGAAACATAATTAGCACCCAGGACATGAAATTCTCTTAATTAAACCAAGAGAGAACCTTCCATCACCACAACAGCTTTCCCTTGTAGATATACTCTATCCTTCTCCTCATCTATACGCACATTCACCACACCACTTCTTGGTGATGCCTGAACCAAGAAGAGGATGTAAGTCATGATATCAAACTCTACACTATACATATGCAATGATAGAGAATAGAATTATTTATAATTATTTGATACTAAGATTTCCTTTGTGATTAGTCATGGTCCATTCCTTACAAACTACCTCTGTCTCTAATTTAAAGTCTTGTTTGAAATTTTATGAGTCTGAGAAAGGCAAGAATCACGTGGTTGAGACTCACGAGAGTAGTGTTATAAACCACACAAATCTTATTATAAAGGGAATGGAAACTGATTTTGTGACGATCGAAATAGAAAACTAGGAACTGAATTTAGAGATGTAGGAAGTACGGAGTATATTATAACTATACCACCATACTCCCACGGTCCCAATTTGGGTTACATGTCTTCTTTTTCGACCGTTTAAATTTTACTTGCATGTTTCTGTATATGGAAAACAATATATGGTTGATATAGTGACTCTCTCATACGCATAACATCAACCACGGAGCTGTCCCTTTAAGGCCTTTATAAAACTCGAGAAGTTAATTTGGAATGGATCAGAGGGAGTTTTATTCTTTAGAGACAAATTTATGTTTGTCTCTGGAGTACCACCCTGAAAGAGAGCACATAAGTATACCGCATAAGCAGTTAAACTGCATTTCTTTAGCTTCTTTTGCCAATAGGAAGCCAATGCGCAATGAGCACTACCACAAACAGGATCCTGAAAAGGAACAAAAAGTGTCAACAAATCTGCTAATACTTAATAGACATTTATATAATTACCCATATATCTAGGGTCTACTTGTGATAGTATATTCTTGTCCTAACCCTACTAGGAATGCCTCCTATGTATACTGACATATATTCTCCATATTATTTTGATAAATAATAATCAGTTCAGTTTTCAATCTTCTAATATTAAATGAATTATGAATATATGAAGTACAATAATAATATGACACCAACTATTCATTTTAATTGATCAGGTGATATTGCTCATTTTTTTAAAATTGCTTGTATATTTTTTTAATTGATCAGGTGATATTGCTAATTTTTTTAAATTAAATAATGACCAGACTAGTGATAAAAAGTGGTTAATGTTTTCTAAAAGTGTTGACAAAGTGTTTTTTGGGGTAATTTTTATTGTATATTATTAGCATACATTTTAAAAGTTGTCTTTTTTCAAGATTACATTTTAAAAATTATGATAAGAGAGGCCCCATTAATCTAATTGGCTTGGGGCCCATAAAATGTCAGGGCCGGCCCTGAATAGGGTTAAAACCCTTTGAAAGAAACAACCCAAGAGTAGATACCATTCTCATTTCTCTATATGATTGATGAGGCATCTTTCACTGATTACCTCAAGAACTCCTAATTTAGGACAAAAGAATCGGCTGTAAAAGTCATAACCAGATCCAGGAGGAGCCGGCCCTGTAATGATCACTCCTCTGGCAGCACATTTTTCTATCTCATCAAACTGTGGTTGGAATCCTGCAACTGCATTCCCTGATGGGAGCACAACCTGCAAGATATATACCATAGTCACAGCCATTTCTTGCATTAGCACTTTTGAAATAGAATTGTTTAAGTTTTTAGAACTTCCAAAAAATCATGGCTAGTGTCCATATATGTAGCAAGGATAACAAGAGGTCAAGAGTCAAGTACATACAAAGAGATCATCCTTCTCAGTCTTCTTGATCTCAACCACTGATGCTTTGTTGAAGTTTATCGCAATTGTGGGAATCTCGGAATAATTTGCTTCCAACACTTGGACAATTGGAAAATTTAACTCGACAAAGAAGCCTCCATCCATATCAGGGACTCTTTTAGCAGTTAAAATACCAGATAAGGTAAAGAACTCAATAAAATCAGTTTTGACAAGCCCATAATCAAACAGGAAATGTGCAGCACCTAGGGTTGCATGTCCACATAGATCCACCTACAAGCAGTGAGAGTTTTTGCAATCGAAACACATTATTTTCATGTTAACTCAACAAATATGTGTGTCTCAAAAAGAACAAATCCAATGTGTTAATTCATACAATGGCAACACTTAGGAAGGGATATTTGTACTTTGACTTTCCCAAATTACCATTGATATGAGGGATAAAAGTAGGGTGTGAGTAGATTAGACCGTGTGTAAACAACACTTCGCACCCACGACATTTGCTCTTAGTAGTGAATAGATATGATGTAATAGGTATGGTAAAAATGAGTAGGGGTAAAAGTGACTTTTAAATAGAAAGTGGAAAGACTTTTTGGGATGGAAAAAAAGTGAAAGGGGGAAATCTTTTAGGGACACAGGAAGTCTTTCATACTCCCTCCGTCCAGAAATAATCTTCTCGTTTCTCCTTTTTTCTCGTCCGGAATTAATCTTCCCATTTCTAATTTTAACCCCAATTCTTCCAAAAATACCCTTATCAATAAATTTCATTTACTCTCAAATTCCCTAAATCTACCCTACCCGTCTCTAAATCTACCCTTCCCGTCCTGCACCCTTTCTTCTTCTCCTTCTTCTCTATCTCTTCCTCTTCCGATCTTCCCCTCTCCATCTCCTCTCTTCTTTCTCCCCCTCCATTTTTCATCTTCTTAGTCTCTCCCTTCTTATTCTTCTTCCATCTTCTAGATCTCGGCATTGGCGATAATTGTGACAGCGATGGCGGCGGCAATTGTGATAGTGATGACGGTGGCGGTTGGCGGTGACGGTGATGGTGATGGTGAGTCTAGTCTCTAGATATACACTTCTTCCTCTTTTCTTCTTCTCCTTCTTTTTTTCTTTCTCCTCCTGTCTTTTAGATTTGCACCCGGTGGTGGGGTATGTCGGGGCTGGGGGTAAAGGTGGGGCTGCCGGCGGTAGTGGAGTGGTGGCGATGGTGAGGAGAAAGGAGCGGGTTACCTCGGATATGATGAGACCGTCGCGGCTTTGGTGCCGGGGGCTGGGGAAGATGGTCGGAGAAATAGGCGGTGGTGTGGCGGGCGGCAATGGAAAGGCTGGCGGCAACAATTGGACTGGGTCAGGGCTGGTAAGGAAGGAGAGAGAGGGCATTTTGGGGAAATTACACTCATAGTCAACCCTTCATAAAAATGGGAAAAGTCCAAATGGGAAGTTCTTTCCCGGAAGGAGGGAGTACTATATATTCTATTATTCGTTGTAGTTAATCGCATCCATCAGTTTTCACAATTCTATACAATAGCATGTTTAAACGGATTGATATACATTTTATCCCAAATATAATACAGATATGGCATTTCATAAGAACCGACCCAACTAAAAAGTTAAGCGGATATATAAAGGGGATTGACCTCGACAACTGGCGTGAACCAGCGAAGACGGAACTTGGATACAGATGATGAAGGCGCATCCAGGGAAGGATTGGAGGAAGATGGTTCGGGATCATTGATTTCAGTTAGGTAACAAGTCTCAGAAATGTTGAATTCCCGAGCAACAGCTTGTAACCATTCGTCATCTCTGTCTTCCTCTAACAAACAAATTGCTGCCGGATTTCCCTTGAAAGGCGAGGCCGTAAACGCATCCACCTGTTGGATCAGTAGATAATTAAAAAAAAAATTACTGGATTTTAGGAGCACAAAAGGAAATTGAGGCATGAGATTATGATGAATATTTTACCACGCAGTATTTTACAAGCTTCTTGGTCATCATGACTTGGAGCTAGAGAGGTGTTTTCTTAATTATTACAGCAGTGTACAACCAGAGATAAACCTCTCCATAGGCTGGGTGGTTCGCAGGGGAGAAATGGATCATATAAGAAGTATTTAATTTTAGGAAAAATTACCCAAAATAATCTCAACTTTACCCGGTCTTTCAAAAATAATCACACCTTTTACTGTAATGCATAATAATCCCAACTTTATTGAAATTTGCCAGCTTTGGGTCGCCGTTAAGTTTCTAATGGAGGATTAACGGAAATGCCCGCTTTAAGCAACAAAATGAAAGTTGGGATTATTTTTGATAAATTTTTGTTTTTTAATTTTTTTTTGAAATTTTTATTTAAATTTTTTGATTTACTTTCAACCTCCATTTCTTTTTCTTTTTTAAAAATTATTCTTACCTTAGAAAAAAAATAGATATAAAAAATAATGAAAATGAAAAAAATAACTAAAACCATACAAAATTAATCAAATAAATAATGTAATCAATAGGAAATTAAACAGAAACTGGTAAGAAATAAAATAAATATATACGGAATGGTGGGTTTCAACATTTTACACACTATACGGAGTCTTAATGTACTACTTATTTTTTAAAAAACAAGCCGTAAGGTAAAGTTGGAATTATTGTAGATAATTTTTTCTAAAATATAAGAAGTGATATGTTAATACTTTGTATAATGCGTAAAATATTAAAACCCACCCGTATATTTTTATTTTACTTTTACCAATTTCAAGTTAGTTTCCATTCATTACCTTATTTATTTTATTATTTTTATATCATTTTAATTACATTTCTCATTTTTTTTTCATTTTTTATATCTATTATTTTTAGTTTTTAAACTAAGACTAATCTTTAAAAAAAGAAAAAGAAATGATGATGGAGGTAGAAAGTAATTTAAAAAATTTAAATGAAAAATTTTAAAAAAATAAAAAAAATGAAAATTTATCAGAAATAATCCCAACTTTCATTTTGTTGCCTAAAACGGGCATTTCCGTTAACCCTCCATTAGAAACTTAACGGCGACTCAAAACTGGCAAATATCAGTAAAGTTGAGATTATTATGCATCACAGTGAAAGGTGGGATTATTTTTGAAAGACGGGGTAAAGTTGGGATTATTTTGGGTAATTTTTCCTTACGTTTAACGGAGGAACATAAATGAGAAGTTGAGATGATTGGATTCAATTGTTTTTGAACAACGGAGTATTAGTTTTGTACTATCAATATTTTAATTTTTAAATGTGAAATTTGTGAATAAAACTAAAACATAAGTTATTTCTCAATGTAGTACTTAAACTTTTTTATTCCCTAAATAGTACTTAATAACTTCTTGTAAGAAGAATAATGTCCACGTGATGCTGGACATTTAGTTGAAAAGAAAACCCCCTAAATAGGAGTAAAACATGTCATATTCTCATATTAGGAGTTCAAACTTAAACTTCTCTAAATAGGATTAATTAAATAAATAATGAGTGATGATGATGTTATCCTACCGCACTGTATATAATATCCATTACAGAGTATATATAATACTATGTCAAGAGTATGAATAGACGCAATTGGCTACCATCCATTTTTTATAAAGAAAACCCCCTAAATAAGAGTAAAACATATGTCATATTCTTATATTAGGAGTTCAAACTTAAACTCCTCTAAATAGGAGTAATTAAATAAATAATGAGTGATGATGATGTTATCCTACCGCACTATATATAATATCCATTACAAAGTATAATACTATGTCAAGAGTATGAATAGACGTAATTGGCTACCATCCATTTTTTATAATACTGTGTGTGTTTTTATTATTGTTATACAAGCCACACCAAAGCTTGTTCTTCAATTGATCAACATCAAAGGCCTTAGCATAGCTCATGTCAAGAGTCACCTCCAAGTATATATAAATTAATTTTTTTTAGAATAACCACATCTTTATTTTAGTTTTATGAATTTATATTTACCTTAAATATATATTATTGTGACTAATTAATTTCCTTGTTTATGAACATCTTTCCAATTTGTAGATGTATAAAAGTAAGAATGCAGATGACCCATATATACCAAGGTACGTACTAAATTTTAGTTCCAATTTGGTTTGTCATGATATTTTCTTTCATTTTTAAAAATCTTTTTAAAATAAAGATTTTATGGTCAACATTATTTTTTAAACTATAATCACACAAATTCTATCTATTTTTTAATATAAAGAATATGTTTTGCAAATTTTATTAATTATTAATTTGAAATAATAGTACTATTAATTAGCCCTAAAGTTTGTTAGGGTTTCATTGTCTTCATCTTCTTCAATTCTTTTTTTAAACAATTAATAAAAGAAGACGGAGAAGGGGATGAATGAGAAGATAAAGTAACATGATCAATTGTGTCATGCACCCCACCCCTCTTAAATTCATCGCCACACTTGTGTCACGCTGGCACGCTGCCCACCTCCATCTCTCTTCATCAAAGCATGATTCCAAAATTGAGCATTTTCTCTTTCGATCTTTAATTGAATTCTATTTTCTTCAAAATTCCTACTGGCGATCGTGGAGGGCATTGGATTTGGTTTGACATTATGTCATTGTGTAACATTGTGACATTATATATGAGCATATGTGGCATTATATAAGGGAATTTATGGTATTATATATTGTCATATATGACATTATATGATGTTATATATTTTAGTGTAATTGGAAAAACTATGACCAATGGTATCCTAATAATCATCAAAAAAGTTTGGTGGTGCGGAGTGCACGCCTCATTGAGGTTGTTACGATAAAAATCCCGTTACATCGGGGGTTCCAAGGGGGCAGCGCCCCCTTGGCGGGGGTTCGGGGGCAGCACCCCCGAGCAGCGTTCAAGGGGTGATAGCCCCTGCGGGGTCCAAGGGGCAGAGCCCCTAGCTATGGTCGAGATGCCAGGTCAGCTCGAAAATTTTTTGTTTTGGGCAAGGTGCTATGTTAAAAAATTCAATTAGAATTTTATTTTCGAATTTTCCTTAAAAGAAAATTTCCTAAGGATAAGCACCGAATTTGAAGAAGTTCCGCGCGAAGGATCGCGTGACTTGGGAAAGAAACCCGATGGCATCTTCTCCTTCTACCGCAAGTTTATAAATTCCCGTAATCCATGGTCGGATTCTCGTTCGGATTTTCATAGAAATTTTCATATTTTGTTCTTGATACTTTCGAGTTTTATCCGATTGAATATTCGATTGAACAACCAAAATACTTAATCTGATAGTGTTCTACACGACTCTCGATTCGTCCAAGTTTTCGTTAATTTTCCCAACAAAGATTGAATATTTTCGTTGAAGATGACGAACGGTGAATCAATGAAGGACAGAACCAGTAACTTCGCTAAACTGGAAGGTGTCCAAGGACAGGACTTTCGAAGATGGCAGAAGAAGATGCAGATCCTGTTGACGACTCTCAAAGTCGTGTATGTGCTGAGTACTCCCAAACCAGAAGAGCGCGAGGACGAAACCATTGAACATGCCAGAAGGCGTTGCAAGTGGGAGAACGACAACATTCTATGCATAGGCCACATTCTAAACAGTTTGTTTGATTCCCTCTTCGATATTTATCAGAATGTTGAATCCGCAAAAGAATTGTGGGATTCTCTTGAATCCAAATACATGGTGGAAGATGCATCAAGTAAGAAATTTCTTGTTAGTGACTTTAATAATTATAATATGGTTGATTTAAGGTCTGTTATGGAACAATATCATGAACTTGTGCGTATGTTGGGACAATTTAATTTACATGGTATGAAACAAGATGAATGTATTTCTGTTTCGAATGTAATTGATAAGTTGCCACCGTCTTGGAAAGACTATAAACGTGAGTTGAAACACAACAAAGATGATTTGTCTTTGGTTCAATTGGGCACTCATCTTCGGATTGAAGAATCAGTGAGGGCTCGAGAAAGCAACAAATCCAAGGATGTTGCTGAACCATCCTGTGTTAATATGGTGGAGGATGGTGGTTCCAAGGCGAAGCACAAGTCTGAAAAAAGGAAGCAAAACAAGCCCGACAAGAACACCGCCAACAAAAAACAAAAGGTGCCATGTTGAAAGTGCGGTAAACCCGGGCATTTCAAGAAAGATTGCAGGGTGGGCAAAGGAGAACAAGAAGCCGGTCCAAGTGGGTCGAAGAACCCAAATATGCAACAAGGTCAGAATTTCGAAAACATTAATAATTTGGTTTAGAATTATGTATCACTAATATGCGAGGCATTTTATATGCAGAATGATGATGTTTCATGGTGGGTAGATTCGGGAGCAACATCCCATGTGTGCAAGGATCAACGTTGGTTTACATCTTTAAGGCCAATTGAAGATGGCTCAACATTGCGCATGGGGAATGTGTCTACCGAACCCATCAAAGAAATTGGAAGTGTTAGGCTAGTGTTTACTTCTGGAAAGTCAATAACATTAAATAATGTATTATTTGTTCCTAGTATTCGTAAAAACTTAGTGTGTGGTATTGTATTAAATAATTGTGGTTATAAACAAGTCATAGAGTCCGATAAATATGTATTATCTAAACATGGTTCGTTTATTGGAATTGGATATTTGAATGGTTTGTTCAAATTAAATTTAGATATATCTTATCTCAATGAATCTATATGTATGGCTTCTACTAGTTCTAGCATTGGTTCAAATAAATCCGAATTGTGGCATGCTAGACTAGGACATGTTCATTACAAGAGATTAAAAGATATGTCTAAATGAGTTTAATACCTACGTTTGATTTGAACATTGAGAAGTGTAAAACTTGTATGCTCACTAAGATAACGAGACAACCATTCAAAGAGGTTTGTAGGGAAAGTAAAATTCTGGATCTTATTCATAGTGATTTATGTGACTTACATGGTACCCCTTCTCTTGGAAATAAAAAATATGTAGTCACTTTCATAGATGATGCGTCTAGATTTTGCTTTGTATATTTGTTACATGCAAAAGAAGAAGCCCTTGATAAATTTAAAATTTATAAGCTAGAGGTAGAGTTACACCAAAGTAACTTGATTAAAATTCTTCGAACAGATAGGGGAGGTGAGTATTATGATCCAGTATATTTTCAAAGTACTGGTATAATACATCAAACAACTGCCCCTTATACACCACAACAAAATGGTGTTGCAGAAAGGAAGAATAGGATTTTAAAAGAAATGGTTAATTCCATGTTATCCTATTCGGGCTTAAGCGAAGGATTTTGCCTTCGAGTCATCGTACTAATAAAAACATTTTTTTGCACTAGTAGTAAAACATATATCATTTTCCATTATAGTACTTAAATTTTTTTATTATTTAAATAATACTTGAATAATATCTAGTAGTGGGAATAATGTCTAGTGGTGGTGGACATTTAATTTGAACAATATCCAATGGTGTTAAACATTACTTAAACAATGACATATGGATAATGATCAGTGATTCTACATTGAGAAATAAAACATATGATACTACATTGATAAAATTTAGGTAAATTCTCTAATAAAAAAGAATTAACCTGATAGCTTTTTTGGTGTACCTTGAGTGCATATCCATTTTTTAGATTTTCTCACATAAAAAACATCTTTTTTATATATTTTTTTACTTCAATAAACAAATACTTATTTCAAATAGTAAAAAAATGTTTATTTTGCTCATATGTAGATCCATGGTAGAACCTTAGGTCCATTATAGAATTTGCCCTTTCACCTGGGGTTGAAAGTTGGACTTCATTTTTGTAAGTATAACTAGTCCAACGTTCAAAAAAATCTCAGTCCTAGTTGGGATATGACCAAAATCGTAGGGGTAATCAGTGTGTATATTAATTAGTGACTCTTAGAGATGGCAATCGAATCAATCAGATCAGTTCCGATTAAGAATGTTTCAGTTCAGATCTCTTTCTGTTCGGTTCGGATTGGTTCGGATTCATTTCGGTTCATTTCCGATGGAGCCAAAATTTCACCATTTTTTGGCTTTGGGGTTTGATGGAATAAATCAAAATGGATCTCTAAACTGTCTACGCTTCTTTAATTAATGAAGTAGCAGTTAGTCAAGCAATGCAACTTTCGACGTTGAGCCGGGGGTCTCTTTGGAAACAGCCTCTCTACTTTCGAGTAGGGGCAAGGTTTGCGTACACACACCCTCCCCAGACCCTACTCTTGTGGGATTTAACTGGGTTGTTGTTGTTGTTGTTGTTATTCATTTCGGTTCTATACATTTTTTGGTTTCCGTTTGGTTTCGGATTGATTCAGATGTCAATCGATTCAAATCGATTTCGGTTTCGGCCAGATACTTTCCGATTCGGATATATTTCAGCTTAGGCATATTTCAGTTTCGGATATGTTTGCATATGTGTTATTTTTTAATTAAAATTTAATTGTCCATTCATTTTTTGTTATATTGCATTTATCAATCTATCATCAATTCATCGTCTCATTTTATTTTATACTTCTTTCGTTCCAAATATCTTTTATTTTTATCTTTTTAGTCATAGTTTATAAACTTGGATTACGAATTATGAAAGACAAATATATTTAGTTCTAATATAATTGGATTACCAAATTACGTACAATTTTGTAAATATTTTGAAAATGAGTAACATTTAATGCAATTAGATAAAATTTGAGTAAAATTAAATCCAATTCAAAGAACATGTTTGGCCAACCACACAATATTACATGAGAGGGGGGTGAAAAAAATTTGAATCGTGTTATAGTTTGTATAAATTTTAACTATCATTCTTATACCAATTTATAAAAAATATATTTAAAACATATGAAATTTTAAATTTTGTTTCAATATGATAATTCATTTTGGACATAAATCAAAATGTGTTTATTGTTAGGAAGAATCAGTTTTGAGTATAATCGGTTTCAGATATAATCAGTTTTGGGTCTTATAGGTTTCAGATCTTACCGGTTTCGGATCTTACCAGTTTTGGGCTTTATCAGTTTTGGATTTAACTGGTTTCGAGTCAAATCGATTTCGGATCTAATCGGTTGGATCTAATCGGCTTCTGGTTTAAATCGAGCATGGATATATCTTCTTCGGATCAGATCATTTTGGTTATTCAGTTATAAATCGGATCTTCAGTTTTCAGGTTATTTTTGTTTCGGTTTCTGATCATTCAATTCGGATAATCGGTTCTGAATCTGTTTTGTCAGGTATAGTAAGTCTAAGTCGAACGTTGAAATTTCTTGTGGTGGGGCTACAATGCGGTGGGCTAACTAGTATAAAAAGTTTACCCCCCAAATTTTTGCCGCAGGAGTAGTTGGACTTCCCACAACGCTAACAACCGTTCTTCCCACAAGCTAGCCTAGTCAGCATGCCACATCAGCTTTAAACTCATTATTCTCATTATTCTTCCCAAAAACACATTACTCTTAACACTTTAATCTTCATCATTCCCACATGAACCCTTACTATTTCCACATCACCATTATTTCTCTATTTATAATTAATTATTTAATTCTTTTTATATAAGAAATGTTTTAAACAACCAAATAAAAATAAATGATAAGAGTAAAACTAAAAATAATATACTCCACGGATGTCTCCGTCACGAAGGTTGAGTAGTGGATATGCGGTCGACGAACAAGTCTGACAACGGTTCATATATTTGGGAAGTGTGCAAGCCACATCTGCAACAGGCTACCAACGGATTTTGAGGTCAAGAGAGTCTTAATTGTGGACAAGTGTGGGCAAACGAGTCCTGGAACCGCGGGTCAGAACCGAACCACACAGTTCGGGGCAAGTTAGGGTCGGGTCAAAAAGTTTATCTTTCAAAACAAGCCGGTCTGGGGCGGGTCATTTAACAAAACAAATTGGACCAGTTACTAATATTTAGAAACAAGTAGACCCGGACCGGCCCGTTTCCTATAATTTAATTAAATTATAAATATACAAATTAAAGTATTAAATAAATTAAATTATACTCAATGTTGGTCTTTTCATCAAATTGTATTACTCCCTCCGTCCCGGAGTATTCGTCCACTTTTGACTTTTGGAACTGTTCATCTAAGCACTTTGACTCATCAAATTCTCTCAATGTGTAAGCCTAAATATAGTCATGTGTGATCTTGTTTAATTTGTCTTAACATATAGATTATTAATATATAATTTCTATAATTTTTTAATATACAAATTACAAGATAAAATGGATTAAAGATGTGTATTGGATGATGTGTAAAAATAAAATTGGACAAATGCCCTGGGACGGAGGGAGTAGTAAACAATTTCTATATGGTATATTCAATATTTTATTAATAAAAAATATGTATAACATAATTAGTAATATTTTAGTCTTTAAATGAATTTTTTCTTATGATTGAACAATATAATTTATTTTTTGTTTATAAGTATCATGCATCCAAAGAGTTTATTATTGTATTGACTATTCTCATATACGTTATTTATTTATTTGGGATGTATTTTAAAATTTTAATTTAATAAAAAAACGTACAAGCCTGCGGACCCGCATAACTGAACCGTTTGAAACAAACCAGACTAGGGTTTACTCCAAATATTTTTCAACAACCCTACCCGTCTCGACCTGTTTATTCTAAAAATAAGTCGGACCGGGAGGATACTTTTAGCCGTGCTAGGTCGGGCACGGTAGGGGATCAACACCATCCCGATGTAAATGTGGTTCCGCGTTCTAGTCAAGAAGCGTCACACTTCACACCTCACTATAAGGTTCTAGTCAAACCCGATATTCTTACCTGAAGAACTTACACACATCCCGCCATAAAATCCAAAAGTTAAAAACGATGAATGAGTTATTTTATGTTGTAAATACATTTTTATTAGGTGGTACACTCTAGCTTTCTGTGTTATTAGATGGGTTTAAGTATTTATAGTGTAGTTTGAATTTTGAGAATTTATCATGCATGCACAGATTGATACATACGCTGCAATCCCTATGAAGTAATATGCACCACCATTACACCATTATCCATCTCAGATTGTTCTCAGTCCCTGCAATTGGTCAAAATTACACCTTCATTTTTTATTTTTTATTTTTTTATTTTTTGAAAAAATCATTATTAATGCGATAAAGGTATGAAGGAAGGACTGGGATGCACCCTTGCACCTTCACTCATCTTCATTTTTTGTGTGTTTCAAACACAAATACAAAAGTAACACAAACAAGGAAAAACATAGCATAAGTAATTTGAAAATAAGTTTGATGTATATCGTTCATCAAACACAAAACCCCAAACACAATAACCTTAATCGCCATGTTCAGCAATGTTAAAGGTAATGTTATACGAATCTGATAATTTGCACTGAAAAATTCATATTATGCATTATTGTTGTTAATACTCTCTATGCCAACTAACTTAGACTAATATCACCTAATGGACCACTAGAGAGTACGCATAGAGAGTAACTATCAAGTACGGAGTATTTACTTTTATTTTAGCCTGCTATCATTCATCATTAAAAAAACATTTCATATTGACTTCATTTCTAAAAATGGCCCAACTATGTTTTCAATTGGTTTCTTAAAAAAACACAAAAACAAAAAAAAATCATGCTCATTGTTGCAAGCCATATCTTCATCGTCCTTTGTATCATTAGTTTGTGTGTCATTGTAATCGTCTTTGTCATCTTCACGCCGTATAAGTTGCACATGCATCACCATCATTGTCTTATGCTGCCTGTTCTGCTTCTTCTTCCACAACTTCATATTCTAAATTGTGATATCACAATCAGCATAATGCAACCGTAAAACCAAAACTAAAATCTGATAACCAATTCAAGAACAAAACTAAAATATCGATGACACATTGTCTCATTCGATGCTACAACCTCAAACACATAAATTATGGAGTTCATACTCAGAAGTTTCTTCTCAAATAATGTACTTGAACATGATAATGCAGCATTTCGTTCATTTGTAGATTCATTTTGCATACCAATTAATGCAGCACACTTGATGCAACTCACGATACCAACACAATCAGTAAAATCTAATAGAATACACATTTTAATGTATATTTATTTAATCAAGTGTTAGACCCAAACGCTAATGCAATACTAGGCCAAATGTATTCTGATTTCATAACTTCCAATCTCCAACACAGAGATGAGCATCATATTATTTCGAATACCCAAAAAATTCTTGCTTTTCGTAACCCTAAATCACTACCTCCCCAAATTGCAAAATAATACCAACACGAATTTCTACAGATCTCTAAAATCACAAGCCTTGGAGACTCCCATGGCATTAATTCAACTTCTCTAACTTACGCATGAACTGGTCTAGATGCAATGTCCATTCATGATTCATCATTAAATGGTTTGAATGCACATCTAATAACCAAATATGAAAAAAGGGCATATACACGCAACTGAATTTTGGAGTCATTTCTACGGCTGTTGTCAATCTTTTCCTCAATAAAGTCTGCCGTTCTTCCTGCTGCCGTCGTCACCATCTCCCTGTTACCTTAGACCGATCATCTCTTTTTTTTAAATTATGAATTTGGAAATTAAAGAGTTCATAGTTCTGAAAGATGGGAGATATTAAAAATCCTTATCGAAATTGCGCAGCATGTTTACCATTGCTAGTATGTAGTGACCGATTCTAATTTTTTTTTTAATATCTTGAGGCCTTTTTTTGTGTGTTGGTACAATTTATTCTGTGTAGTGTAGTTTCAAAAAAGAATGTAATATATGAATATGGCATTTTGTTAATAATTTAACAGGACAAGAGGTTTCAATAATAGTACATTTCCTTCATTAAATTTGGTGTGTAATACTTCCCTCCGGATAAAGAAAAAGACCATACAAAGGTTCAAAAATCACTCAAAAAAGAAAAAGTTATTTTATTTTCTTCATTAAATTTGGTCTCTAATACTTCCCTCCAGATAAAGGAAAAGACCATACAAAGGTTCAACAATCACTCAAAAAAAGAAAAAGTAATGGCAAGAGATGCTGAAGGCATATTTAGTCGCCTAGAAGAAAGTTTAAGTCTTGAAAGAAGATTATCTAAACACGTTGGACCAACAAACCAATAAAATGTTCCCAACATAACAGGTGCAGATAAGTGGGCACCAAACCAATTGTCATTTATCAGTACGCAGAGCATACATTTCACCGGCCAGTATTTTGATTTTTTTGGTATTGGCTAGGGGTGTAAACGGATATTAATCGAATCGGATGTGCCATTACCAAATCCGTATCCGTTTATTTTTGTCGGATATCAAATTCAGATACGGATCTTGACGGATACTAAAAATCAAAACTGTATCCGCATCCATCGGATATCGGTCGGATATCGGATATATCCGTATCCATTTCCAATTTTTATAATCAAATTAAACAATACTTTATTTTTAAATTAGATTAAATTCAAACTATTATTAAATCAACTATAATTTGGTATGTGATAATTATTTTCTTGGTTTTCATGATTTATGATACGGAGTATTCATTAGTTGAATTAAAAAGATAAGAAGTGAGTTATGATTACTTTTCATTTTCAAAGAAGTATAAATACTATTTTCTTTTTTGAATTTTTTTTAAGTGCTTCTGTAATATTTTAAATCGTACATAAGAAAAAACACATGAAACATTTGTCGAAAGAGTTAAAATGACAACAATGACAGACCTTAAGAGATGGAAACTCCATAAGCCTGATTTAGTCGTCTAGAAGAAAGTGTGTGTCTTGAAAGAAGATCATGTAAACACATAGGACCACCAAACCAATAAAATGGTCACAACATAACAGGGTCAGATAAAAGGCCAGCTGAGTCTCCATGCTAACAGTGATGCCTGCATAGTAAATGAACTGCAGTTTAACAACAATAAAGCCTTTTCGGCTTAGCGTAAGAATGTCCAGCCTAAAGGTAGAAAACACCTTCTCTTCAAAGTATTGAGATGAAGGATGTCATTTTTTCATTACTATTGTGTATTTCAAGCATATGGTATAACTATAAAGGTTATATACGGTGTAAGAGCATCTCCAAGGCACCTTTCATATACTTAAAAAGTCATTTTATCGCTGTTACTGTAGTTATTTTTGTTCTCCTACGCAACCTCTACATTATATAGCATCTTTGGTATGTCAAACAACATCTTCTATAATAAATAAAGTTTTACTGTTTATAAGCTAAAATGCTAAAAAAATAAAATACTCCTATCTGTATGAAGATTGAAAGGTTGGTTGATAATTTCAACATGTGTCGACTCCTTCCCCATCACCTTCTACCTCAGCTTCCCCATCCTCTACAATAAAACCCATTCCATTAATATAATTGTCTATGGAATTGTTGGGTGGTGTAGGGTCCTGTGAAGAGTTCAACCAATTGGAAATGACGTTTTCGGGATCCAGTCAAAAAACGGAATATGAAAGACTACCATTCAGATCTCTCAAATTGCCAATATCTTGTCCATCTCTTATAGCCTCACTTAATAAAAAACAATTAAACAGAACCACAATGAGGTAAAAATTGATCATCGATGTTTTTGCCTAGGTTTTGGCTGTTTAAACATGTTGTCCATCAACCAATTGAAAATATAACGTACTATATACTCCATCCATTCCTAAATTAAATTCTCCCCCAAGTGATAAAAAATAAGTTGGTGAATTTTAAGTTTTATATTAAAATTATGGTTCACAGCCAAGAGCCACAACAATTTTCTTTGGAGTAACTGAGATAATACTTAATGATTTCAGAAAGCAAGTAATAGCTAAGAGCAGCATCCTATGAAAGTAAAGTTAATAGAGGTCAATGTAGATGCACCCAGAGATCATACAACACTTAGTTCAACAGGGTAAAGTAAAAGTACTATGCATCCTCTTCTAACAGTTAAAACTTTTTTTCGGGCCTACATAAAAGGCAAAAGCACTTTTGGGAGCTTTTTTAACCATAAAGAACAGCCACATAGAAATACAAAGTATTTTAGAATTAACATCCTGTCTGATCATGAAAAAAGTTTGTAAACCAACTCATATTATAATAAGTGATGCATTTAAGAATCATGTTACCTGGTATAACCAAGCAGGAATTTGATAATAATAGAAATAAAAAAGATGTCTTGCAAGTCTTGAAATCATAATTATCATACAAGACACAAAGAAGGAAACAGGAGCGTTAAGAATTACGAATACTGAGGGAATGAATTTATCAATTACGCCACTTACCGGAAATTATATTATGTTTAGTTGATATAGATTTCATAGATAGCAATTTCACGTCTGATATGAAAAAGTAAACTGAATATAGAACCTGATCTTCCCTGAAAAATCTGACGGTTGATCAATGCTAGGGATGCTATGATTTTGGTCCTCGGAAGGTGGTTGATTTGTCGAGTGGAAACCAGAGAGGAGATAACTCCAAAGACTAACACTTGAAGTTCAAGGTGAGAGTATTAAGTGTTATGATTGTATGACGGTTTATTGGTATGTAGGGAAGGAAGAAATAAGTTGTGGATGGATGATATTATATGAAGTTGAGAACTCATTGAAAGGTAGTAATGGCCATCATTATTTTGAAATCAAAATTGGTAAAAACTGACATTACATTTATTTAGAGTTAATTTGAAATTTTTTGGTGTAATTTTGCTGTCATTGGTAGCCATTATTTGTCTTTAATGAATAATGTTAGGTAAAAATAATTGAATGTGACATTTACTACTACAAAATTAATTGGTGAAATACCACTGTTGAAGTTGGCATTTCCCCCAGAGTTGAAAAAACTTTCAGACGTCAACATCCACTGCCAATGCATTTTCGCTGCTGCAAGGATTATCCACTGCCTGCAACAATGTAAATAAATTATATTTAGGCTATTATTCTGAGAAAAAACATGGAAGAGTAACATGGTTTAGTATTGAACATTCTCATATTTGGATTAAAAATGATGTGCTCAGGAAAATACGTTAAACGAAAGGCAATAATAAGGTCGTGGTAAACTTTTTCCAATGAAACATGTGTTTGGATTAATCTTTTTATTATTAAAAAGTAGATTAATATACAATATGATGTTTTACCCCAAAATGGAGAACATTAATTTTTCCTGGGAAATGATTTTCCATTTTCAAGACACAAATCTTTTACCAAAAAACTGTAACGAATAATAAGAAAAATCTTGGAATTCACTTCCTATGAAGTGAATAGAGAGAAGCAAGTATATTCAGGTCGATATTTGCATCCAATGGAGGTCAAACAAAGCATATACCATAGGGATAAACTCAAAACAAAATGTGTGTGCCAATAGATTGATCATGAGATAACAAAGGACATCCATTTGAAGGGCCTGCAATTTTTTCTTGGATTAGTCATTATCTAAGGTTTCCTCTATACATTGTGTCATGATGTCATCATCTGAATCTGGGAAGAACCAAAACCAACCAGCTGAAATATTAGATTGAATATTTGAAAGGTTGTATCAAATTATTACATGGTTAACACTAAATTTCAGCACAATGCTTTCAACTTTGATTAAAATGTGAGAGGCAATGGTCTAGCATTATAAGTGAATAAAGTATTATTACATGACATCCAATTCTCTTTAAGCACATGCATATTTTGCGTTGTTATTCGCACAATAGTGGTTATTCTTTTAGTTTCTAAGATAGTACGTTTATGATGATGAGGATGGTGTCCATAAACAATTGATACTTGATGTATCAAGCTGTACAAAAATGGTATGTAATATTAATTTTGTTTTGAAATCATATAAATATGACATTAATTCATACAAAATCAGAGGTTAAATGAGAAAATGCCCCCATATAAATGACTTCAGAACCTTCTATTTTGGAAAGCAGAATAATTTCAAAAATTAAATAATGCACATGAAAAATTTCCATAGTCTAGAAATTCCATTGAAGATCAACTTCAAGCAGATCTGAAGTTGATATTCATTGGGAAGAAGTTCTAACTATTACATTGGTAACAATAATTTTAACACAACATATAGAACTTTGAGTAAAAAGTGAGAGAATATGGTCTGTCATTATAAGTGATTAAACTAATCAAAGATGACATCCAATCCTCTTTAAGCACATACATTTTCTGTAGGCATTGGCAAAATTGTGGTTATTGTTTGAGCACAAAGAGAGTATGTTTAGGATGATGATGATGACAGTGTCATAAGCAATTGACGCCTCATGTGATACACATTATTGAATTGCACATTGATGGTATGTAATTCCGTTTTCTAAGGTCAGGTTTTCACAGAGTTGTAATGTTTCAAATTTCTTGAATGTAATTATAGTAACCATTAATTGGAAAACTCTGTTGTGCTCAGGCTTTGCAAGACTATATATAACAAGCACAAATTAAAGAAAGAAGCACTGCACATTAAACATGTGTTGTATTTATTAAAGATGGTGTTTTGGGAATAAAATTAATGTTAAAAAAACTCAACAAAACAATGGGACAAATATTATTGCAAACAAAGTGTTGATATTGTTTAACATTCAAACCTTAAAAATATTAGTTTTTCATTTTTTGGATGGGTGATCATCTGGGCTTCCTTCTTCAGAGACAGCATTCGTAATTTCCCTAGGTTGCTGAATTTCTTCTTCATAAGTCAATCTTCTTATGGCAGATACTTGACTACTGCTTTCCCCTTTATTACCTTCAACGCTAACTGACTGTGAGAAGATAACATTTTCACAAAGACCATTGAAACTTTAATTTATCCAATTTCTTCCCTGAAACTGTTTGTTGTCAACTCTCACTTCACAAACAAAGCTCTTTCCGTCCATCTTGGCTTGAAGTTGTGAAATGTCAATTTCTCCTGACCGGTGGGTAGTCTTTCTAATGCACAACAGTCGGGTCGAAATCTTTTCTTTTTCTTTTTTTTTTGAAGGGGTCAGTTGAAATTTTCATTGAAAATTGTTCCTTGAATCTGACCAGTTTCATCAGTCAACTTAACTTTGACCATGTATATACATTGTGAGAATCAAACTTCATTTAATCCATTAACCAAACATTTGGAGTGATGTCAATTCACGTGCATTGAGATTGCCACAATCCAAGCATGTATAACTTCCTCCTTGCCAAACTTTTTTATTACAATAATCACAGCCAAAGTAGGAATTTGGTCCATTATCGAGAATTCGCATATATACTGCAACCCAAACTGCTTTGCCCTAAATGTGTTCCAAATTTAAAAGTAACGGTAAGAGAGAAAATACAATATGTATTTCATTTCAACCAACGAATGCTCAACTGTGGTGCATACCTGGGTATTCGATTGGCAAATCTCGGAAAGTTTTGTCTTTGATTGCGCTGGTGGGTATGCTAGTGATATTAGCGCACATTTATATGCCTTCAGGTCAATGAACCTCTTGATAAGATCTACGATCTCATCTCTCATGTTAATGTGTTTTATAAGTCTTACTTTAATATGAATGTGTTTAGTACTATTTCTTCTGAACATAGACGTATGTTTATACCATTTTTTAGGGGTTTCAAAGTTTGGATTAGGTGGATTGACATCAATGATTGAATCAAATCTGTTTACCACAAGCAGTAAAAAACTTATGAGATATAGTACCTGTTTCTCAAGTTGGTGTTTCTTATAGAGGGTGTTAACCAACTCTTTCTTCTCTTCGCATTCTGCCATTAGAAGCTTATTAGAAGCTTCCACATTTGAACACCTTTCCTGTAGTTCAGAGTGACTCCTTGACAAAGCACCAACATTCTCAGCGAGCACCCAAACACATTCTCTGAACTCAGCAGTACTGTCTTCCTCCTTTTCATTGATTGAACTGATTTTTTGAAAATTTTTAAAAAATGCATTTATAGCTCGGGGACAAAAAGGAATTTTATATTTTTATCCAGAATCAAACATGTAGCGGCAGGGAAATTTATGGGTGAGAATCTCCCCCGTGCCTGAGGGGAGAAAAAAAAGGTTAAAACAAGAATGTGAACTCACTTTGGTAAAGACTGAGACAAAGCACGTAGAGACTCGGCAAAACCAGCAGTGCCACCAGATAAATTGCAAGCTCTCAACCTCTCAAAGAGGCTACCCATTTTAACTGCAGAAGAACACAGTGTGCTGTACTCTGAGACCCTCTCGGCTGCACACAGATGGTTTTGAGCTTCCTCTCTTGCTTCATGAAGACAGTTCTCCAAGTGAGCATAATTTATCTGTATCACATTGTAGAACATACTTAGAGTATTTCAGTGAAGAGCGACTTGATAAACTCCGTGTCACAAAAAAATGAAAATTGTTGAGCCACAAGGGCATTAATTTTGTTTTTAAAGGAAAGAAGAATAATACTCTGTAAATGGTTCTTATTTTGTTTAATCTTCTATAAAAATTATACTCCCTCCATCCGGGAAAGAACTTCTCAAGTGGACCTTTCACGTTTTTTAAGGAGAGTTGAAAAAAGTGAACTTTTACCAAATTACCCTTAATGAAAGTAGGTGGAATATTGGGTGATGTGTAATAAATAAAGTGAGAGTTGTTGTGGCATGTCAAATGTTAAAAAAGATACCGGAAGATCTTTCTCGGTCAAAAAGGGGCAAGAGAGAGTAATACAAAATTCTCTCTCAAATGCGATGTGGTATGTGATAAAGAAATAAATAAAACCCATCCTTTTAGTACTAAACACTATAAATTTCTTGTTTGTGTTTGCACACTTCTCTATTATTTTTTTCTTTTGGAAATGGTTGGGGTTAGGGGGACAATCTATTTTGGTATGCCATAAAAATTTCCCTAACAACCATATCCTGCCATAAAAAAATCAAAAGTAAAGCATTCCAAACTTAAATACTAACAAATATGAATGATAGCACAGTTGACTAAAAGGCCGCCACACAGAAAAAAGGATTCCAGCTCTAGCTAAGGAAGGGAAGACAATGGAGGGGCAGGAGGGCATAGTCTACATTTTGAAAAATATACAACAACAACCCAATTGAAGCCCAAGAGAGCAGGGTCTTTGGGGTGGGGGGTGGGGGTGTAGGCAGACCTTGCCCCAGTCTTGAAAAATATAACATTTATAAAATTGATGAAAGTGTGATTAGAATGTTATATGATTGCCAATAATGTTATTTCTTTAACTTTTATGAAATATCATTCACAAAATGTATATGTAATTGTAATTATATATGTATATCAACATATACACATAGGCCTCCATAACCTTCCATCAAATTGGTAAAGTGTAACACTACAAGTGTCAATTCAACACTATAGTGACAAATAACAAGCCTAGAGTTAATAGTTGATGAAAATGCTATTGATTGCCAGGTATGGAGTCTCGGCACCAACAAAATCAGTAAAATCCCACGGAAGTAGAGAGACTATTCCCAAGAGACAAATCAGTGCAAAATTTCTAGTTCTCTGTAGAGACCATACAGTTTGACTATATAATATCTGTCCTTTATATTAAGAAAACAATTGTAGTTTAGTCAAAAAATTACCTGCGATTCATCAAGGAGCTTCCTTTTGTTCTCAAAATCCCCATTTAACTTGTCAACCTCATTCCTCAGCCTTTTGATTTCATTTTCTGCTTCATTCAGTTGGCTTGAATTTCCACTGAGTGCTTTTTGCAACTCAATAACAACATCTTCACTTAGTCTTGAACAAAAAGCAGGACCAGCAGCTGGTTCAGAAGGTAATGAAGCACTCACAGGCGAGACATGCTCAGAACCATAGAGCTTGATAATGTCTCATTTGCCTCGTCACAAAACTGGTCGTGCTCTTCATCGCGGTGAGGATCTACCATAGATGAATCCAATTGAGGGTTAACCGTACTAGAAGAATCAGTCATGTTATCATATAACACTTCTTGTGTCTTTCCCTGTTTAGAAAGATTCCCTGTTTTATCTTCCAATGAACTAGACGCACATGAAGTGGTAAGATTTGATACGCCCTCACCCACAGAACCATTATGGCTAGGCATATAATGCTCAGACAAACGTTGCTCTAACTCCTGAATCCGTTTTTCATATGATTCACACTGCATTTGCTTCATCTTTAGCATGGATTTAAGATGGTTCTCGTGCTCTTCTTTCAAACATATGGCTTCAGATGTTTTCTCTTGAACGTCCTGTAGCAAACGGTCCATTTTACCCTCATCATCAAAAGATTCATAACCAACTTCAGGGATAATCGAACAGATTAAGGCTATCTTAGAAGCAAGTTCTGCTCTCAGTTTTGCATTTTCAACTTCTATCTTGCTCATTCCAACAATATCGAGAAATTCAACCGAATCAATCTTCTCAGGAAGTTCAAAACCACAATCATCAACCTTGCCTCTGTGTGAGAGTCCCAACAAATACTCAGGGGCATAATGGTCAAGCCCTGGGATATCAATGTCGAGCAACTTGGTATCAAAAGGGGTCATATTTACGTCACACTTGCTAGGAGTATCAAACAATCCCATGCAAGACAAAACATCGCTTGGTATGTATGGACAGTGAACTCTCAAAAACTCCTCCGTTCTAGAAACCTTTGCTTCCCTCTTGGCGGCAAGCCTTTCGGCCAACTGTCCCGCCATGCCCATGTAAAGCTTCATTGAAGCCTTCCTTCTAACCACTTCTGCAAGGCAAGCTCTATATGCTGGCCCGATTCCCCAGACAATGTTTAAGTTTATCCTTTATCATGAACTGGATGTATGCTATCTTTTGCATGTAATTGTGGACGAACGTGTTCATTTCTTTCTTTTTGTCCTTGCAGAAATCAAGCAAGCAAGCCAGTAAATGATCTTATCACAAGATTGCATCTTGGGAAGATAACTTTTCTCATGGGATTCATACATGGGGCCCAAGGCAGAAACTGCATCATGGGGACAGAGTGAGGATGATAGCTGGCCAGTAAGGCAATCATCAACAAGCTTTTTTACCATGTTCACGTCTTTACTGCATGGCAATGAATTTGTAGGTATCAGTTTAATTTTAGAGTTGGGATCGTAGTGGGCTTTGTGAGGATGCTCATATAGCATAGATAGTATATTATTCAAAGTATCGTGTGGAAATTATATATCTCTAATAAATTTAATATGAAAATGACATAAACTTCCTACCCCTACCGCCAACACCATAGTCCACAAACATCTAGGGCCATGGTGCACCAGAAATGAATTTATCTGAAAAGGGCATCCGAAGAGAGGAAAAGTGTAGGAAATTGGGTAATTCTCACATACAGACTACAGTATTTCTTTTGTACCTAGTCATGTGACCATATTACTCTGTAGTATTTAATTACTAACTAATGAGGACTATATGACCTATGTGCATTAAATAATACTAGTATTTAAATGGATTTCTCAGAGTACTCCATAAGAAAATCATGCTGTTGTTGACTGTTTTAAGTTGTTATCGGGTCATGGACCAATGCAACTATTGACATGGCTCAAAAATTCAGCACAATGTGCAGCAACGAATGGGTGAGATAGAAACACTGTTTTATGAGTAATCAAACTTGAATAGCCTCAAGAACCAACTTCGAATGAAAGACACTATTGATTCCACCGTGCAAAAAATTCACTTGTATATTATATGATGAAAATGTGCATTCGTCCCTAAAAAGAACTTTGTGTTTTCCTTTTTCAGCTGCCCCAAAAAGAAGTAATCATTCCATTTAGGGAAAGAAATGAGGGGTTCATATTATTTCTCTCTCCCCTGCGTAAACTTCCAAAAGACAATTCACTTTATCTTAAACTCCATGAAAAAAACAAATCATATCTTCTTTTAAGGACAGAGGGAGTATTGTATAAATGGAATATAACAAAACAACTATCATACAAAGACAGAGAGACTAGAAAGAACCTCAAAGCCTGCATTATGCTCTTTTGCTCATTAACATACTTATAATGCTCTCTAATCACCTGTTCAAGACCTTACACATAAGTCCAATTCGTTTCTTAGACCATCCCCAATGAATAGAGAACATAAAGAATAAATTACTGTACAATGAATCCATTTTTTCCTTTCTTTCCTTCATTTAAATATTATAATGTTTTTTATTAATTAATAAAGAATTCAAAGAAAACTCCAAACACATTAAAAAAATTCAAAGACAACTTCAAAGTCCAAACACAAATTTTCCAATGTGGGATAGAGATGTCATTTGGGATTGAAGGAGTGCATCTTTGTTGAAGTGGCCTAATCCATCAACTGTAAATGCCATTACAATCTACTGATTCATCATCACCAATAACACACAGACTGCTATGATGCTGAGTTCTACAACAATCAAGAACCAATCTTCTTAAAAATGAACAGCAAAACCACAAATTATTGTTTGATTAAACAAGCAATTAATAACTAGAAAAGCATCCAAAGTAACAATGTGCATTCTCTATAGTGCATTAGGCGTTAATAACGAAATATACCCCCATCAAAATCCAGTTTTCTGAGGATCTGAAGCCCTGTGACAACAACCGTCAAGCTCCAATTTCACCTTGAGAGTGGCACAGATAGCTCGGAACTTGATCTGCAAAGACTCCATCACATCTGAAACTGATTCGTTTTCAGGATCAGATAAAGGGTATTTCTGGAGCAACTCATCCATCTTTTTGACATTCTTCTGCATGCGAGACGAGAAACACGCCTGGTCTAGCCCAATAGCAGAGTTCCAGACGTCGATGCAGCCTCTGTAGAAGCCCAGTTCTAAGCCGGTTTCAAACCCGGTTTTCAGGCCAACCTGGCGGCCTTCCTCTACGCAGGAGGACAGGCCTTGGGCATAGCCATCAGAATGGCCTTCTTTGTAATGGATTTCCTCAAGGTTCAAAGACGAATCAAAGATGTCCTCCGTTGTATTAGCCTCAGGCGAACCCATGTGCTTCTCTACGGGTAGATTGATGCAAAGGCGGGGGTGGGCTGGCGGTTTTCCAGCAGCGATTCGGATGGGATTTGGACTGAGTTTGTCCTCTCGCTAGGGCAGGTCCAGAGGATTCAGGGGCCTTGGATGAGATGAAAAAAATTCCTGCACCACAACGATTTAAACTTTGAGTACATTTTGAGTTAATTGAGTACAAACCAATTCTGTCTCATGACTTCCAAATTTCCAAACAATCAACAAAAAATCATTCAACCACTAAATTAAACAAAAAAACTTAGAAATACAATATTTATCTATGTTTAACTCAAATTAAACAAACAGCTCAAAAAACAAATTACAAATCCATAACTAGAAGCTCAAAAAAACTAGCAGATTAAAAAAACATTAACTCAAATTAACAAAAAATAATAATTATATATGCTCCCAGCTCTAAAGCTGAACAAGAAATCAGACTAATTAATGAAGAAATGAATTAATCGAATCTCAACCCAGCTTCTCCTAAATCAAGCTTCAGCGAACAACATAACAACCGAATTCGCATCACTCAGTAATTAAAACTTCTCAATTTTGAATATAAAAAAATCAAGTTAATTGATCGAAGATAGTAAGATACAGACCTGCAACTCCGCAAGAAGATTGGAACGAAGAGGCGATGGTCGTCTGACTAGACGAAGGACGATGAGGATTGCCGGATTGGGTGCAGCGCTGAAACCTGAACCCGCACAACCTCCGTTCGGATCACAATGTTTTTATGTAAGGAGTATTTATTTGGTTTTTTAGACAAATTTTATGTAAGGAGTAAAATTTTACGGAGTAATTATTATTCCCTCTCTCCCCAGTTTTTGTCACTTTTGACTTTGGACTGTTCATCTAAGCACTTTGGCTCATCAAATTCTCTCAATGTGTAAGCCTAAAAATAGTTATGTGTGATCTTGTTTGATTTGTCTTAACATATAGATTATTAATACGGAGTATATAATTTCTATAATTTTTTAATATACAAATTACAAGATAAAATGGATTAAAGAAGTGCATTGGATGGTGTGTAAAAATGAAAGTGGACAAATACTCTGGGACGGAGGGAGTATCTATATGTATTGCATATAACTGTAGTACAATGATACTCCCTCCGTCCACAAATTAACTTTACATTACGCATTATGATGTTTGACTGAAATTATTTTCAAATCATTTTATATGAAAAATGGTGTAGAATTGAAAAATAAAAATGACATATTAAAAAACTATATCAAAAGATCTACAAAACTAGATGTGACATGATTATATTATTTTATCAAATGGGTGACGAAAATAAGACAAAGTGAATAAAGTTTGACCTTGTGAATAGTGAAAGTAAAATTTATTTATGGACGGAGGAATATAACATTTTGATAGATCTCAATAAAAATAAATTTACACTGTGTTTAGATCAAGAAATTTGAGAGGAGAAGAAAAAGAAAATGAGAAGTAGAGGTGGACACGGTACCAGTTCGGTACCGTGACCGGCGACGGTACCGCCGGTACCCGCCACCGTCACGCCGTCTCGTTCGTCTCACCGGTTACGGGAACCGGTACCGGTACCGCCCACTTCGGTACCGGTTCCGGTACCCAATTTTTGGTACCGGCACCGACGGTACCGGTCCGGTTCCGGTACCGGTATAATTTTTTTTTTCTTTTTTTGCATTTTGCTTCATATCCGTTGCCTTGCTTTTGCAGACCTGCGAAAAACAAAGGGGGGGCCTGCCTCAACGGCTAAATAGCCGTTTGAGGCATTGGGGGGAGGGGGATAACCTTATAAATACTCCCATTTTTTCAAAAAAAAAAATCACTCAATCCATCTCTCATTCTCTCAATATATCATTTTCTCAAATCTCAATCTCTCAAATCTCAATCTTTCAAATCTCAATCTTATGTTCTTATTTTTATCTTTTATATATATTTTTATATATATTTTATATATTAATATATAAAATTTCGAAATTAATTTAAATTTTTGAAATTTAATATTTAATTTTATTTAATATCAAAAAATATATAAGTTATATTTTAAATATATTCTTTACTTTTTGAAATTTTCGAAATTTTAATATATAAAATTTCGAATTTTTTTTTAAATTTTCCAAAATTAATATATTTTTTTAATATCAAAAAAATATATATTAAAATGTCGAGAGAGTCCGGTAGAAGGTCCGTGGATATGGGCGACGTGAACCGAAGTTTGAGGAAAGGCAAAGCTATAGCCACCTCCGACGGTTCGACCTCACGCGGACGCGGTTCTCGAGGAAGACACTCCGTCTCTTCCTTTCCTACTATCCCCGATCACTTAATCGGGGACGCTATGACGGATGAAGAATTCGACCAGATTTATTCTGGTAGAGGGGAAGCAAATCTCCACACTCTTGATAGTGTATTCGAAGATCTTGATGAAGCAAATCTAGATAATCTGGACGGGGACGAGGAGCCTACACCGCAGAGCAATGACGTCGACGTGGAGGCAGGTGAGCCCGAGACCTCTCGAGGTCCGGACAAAGGTAAAAAAAAATATAAATCAGATTTATTTGTTTATCATTTTGACAAAGAAACAAAAGATGGCATAGTTTATGGAACTTGTAAACATTGTGGGACCGTCATAAAAATGGGAGTTTCCGGCAGTTATGGCGGTACGGAAAAACACCTAAGGTCGAGGCATCCCGTGGAGTACGCCAAATACGAGGCAAAAAAGAAGGGACGACAAGAAGTGCAAACCCAAATTTCTCAGTTTGCAAACAGAGGTAAGGGCGGCCTTTTTGCTTATAGCGACGAGCAAAATAAGCAAAAAATGGCCAAAATGATTTGTGAAGAAAATTTGCCATATATGTTTTCTGAAAAACTTGGATTTATTGATTATTGTCAACATGCATTAAACCCTCAAGCACGAGGTTTTTCAAAAAAACAATTAAACGAGAAATTATTCGTTAGTATAAAAGTGGAAAAATAAATTTGGCAAATTTTTTTCTCAATTTTAATTCTCGTGTTGCTATTTTTTCTGATATTTGGAGTGAAACTTATCATAATTTGTCTTATATGGGTGTTACTTGTCATTGGATAGATAGTGATTGGATTATGCATAAACGTGTTCTTGCATTTCGTGATTTCAATGAACAGCATACTGCTGAAAATATTTTCCTATTGCTTCAGAGTATTCTGCGGGAATACAACTTATCTGAAAAAGTGTTTTCATTTGGTTTTGATAATGCTACTAATAATACTACAGCTATTCCTAGACTTAGAGAAATTTGCCCACCGTCCACGTCTATGGGTAGATTTCTGCATCAACGGTGTGCCTGTCATGTTTTAAATTTATGTGTTCAACAGGGACTAGAAGCTATGGGCGGAGTTTTAACGAATATTAAAGAAGGAATCCTTTATTATAATAAAGGAGACTCGGATGCACGAGAATGCGACATTTGGCACGTCTATCTGGCAAAAAATGGAACACATTAGCAAGCCATGTAATAATAGAAAAAATCCTTTAATATAATAAAAGAGACTCCGATGCACAGAAATTCGACATTTGGCATGTCTATGTGGCAAAATTTAAACATGTCAGCACGCCACGTAATATCCAAGTAAACCAGCGAAAATAAATTATATACGATGCACCAACAGATCTCCTGTTGGAAACAATTGACCGCAGATTTTCTACGCGATAATCACTGGCCTTCAACGAAATTCTTTCCTTCATATTACAACAATACGAACTCCTATTGTGATGATAATATAAAATAATTAAAAATAAATATGAAAAAATATGAATACTATTTAAAAAACAAATATAATATTTTTTATTTAATTTAAATAGAATTTTAGGACCATGCTACATATATTAATCCTTTATCAGTTTATCTTACTTCCATATTTAAAAATTACATACTTAAATAATAAGTTACAAAGGTTTATTGTGGAAATTCGTGTATAATAAGAGTTAAAATCAATAGAGTACCTATATTAATGGAAATTAGAATATTATTTTTTTACAACAAAAATATATTAAGAAACAATCCTAAATAATACTAAATTTGAAAATGATGATCACGAGTATATTACTCATCACCTTACTTATATTATTTATGGTGGGTAATACTAATATTATTTTGGATCCGTTTACTTATATATGGAAATCCTTAATTATGTGTCTTGGATAATCAATAATATTATATGTTAATATATGTTTTCAGATTACAATAATACGAACTCCTATTACGAGGATAATATAAACAATTAAAAATAAATA